AACAAACAAACAAACAAGCCCAGGGCCAGATGGTTTCAGTGTAGAATTCAACCAAAAATTCAAAGAACAGCTAATACCAATTCTCCTCAAAGTGTTCCACACAATAGAAGCAGAAGGGTCATTGTCAAACTCTTATTACAATGCTACAATTACCTTGGTAGCCAAGTCACACAACGGCACAACTAAGAAAAAGAACTACAGACCAATCTCCCTCATGAACATTGACAAAAATACTCAATAAAATACTGGCAAATGGAATCCAAGAACACATCAGAAAAGTCATCCACCATGATCAATTAGGCTTCATCCCAGGGATGCAGGGATGGTTCAACATACAAAAATCTATCAATGTAATTCACCTTATAAACAAACTGAAAAAGAAAAACCAAATAATCATCTCACTAGATGCTGAAAAAAAAAAAAAAAAAAAAAAAAAAAAAAAAAAAAAAAAAAAAATATAAAAAAAACAAAAAAACACACATAAAAAAAACACGCAAAAAAAATGACAAAATCCAATACCCCTTCATGAAAAAGGTCCTGGAAAGATCAGGGATAATAAGAACATACCTAATATAATAAAAGCAATATACAGCAAACCAACAGCCAACATCAAACTAAATGGAGAGAAACCCAACACCATTCCTCTAAAATCAGGAACAAGACAAGGCTGTCCATTCTCTCCATATCTCTTCAATATTGTACTTGAAGTTCTAGCTAGAGCAATAAGAAAACAAAAGGAGATTAAGGGGATGCAAATTCGAAAAGAAGAAGTCAAAATTTCACTATTTGCAAAAGACATGATAGTTTACATAAGGACCCGAAAAACTCTACCAGGGAACTCCTATAGCTGCAAAGTGGCAGGATACAAGATTAACTAAAAAAAAAAAAAAAAAAAAAAAAAAAATCAGTAGCCCTGCTATAAACAGATGATAAATGGGCTGAGGAAGAAATCAGAGAAACATCACCCTTTACAATAGCCACAGAGAATGTAAAATATCTTGGAGTAACACAAAACAAACAAGTGAAAGACCTATATAGCAAAAATTTGAGTCTTTAAAGAAAGAATTTAAAGAAGATACCAGAAAATGGAAAGATGTCCTATGCTCTTGGATAGGTAGGATCAACACAGTAAAAATGGCAATCTTGCCAAAAGCAATCTACAGATTCAATGCAATCCCCATCAAAATCCCAGCACAATTCTTCACAGACCTTGAAATAACAATTCTCAACTTTATATGGAAAAACAAGAGACCCAGGATAGCCAAAACAACCCTGTACAATAAAGGAACTTCCAGAGGCATCACCATCCCTGACTTCGAGCTTTATTATAGAGCTATAGTCCTGAAAACAGCTTGGTACTGGCATAAAAATAGACAGTTAGACCAACGGAATCAAATTGAAAACCCTGATAATTAACCCACGCACCTGTGAACACCTGATTTTTGACAAAGAAGTTAAAATTCTACAATGGAAAAAAAGAAAGCATCTTCAACAAATGGTGCTGGCATAACTGCATGCCGGCATGTAGAAGACTGCAGATAGATCCTTGTCTATTGCCATGCACAAAACTTAAGTCCAAATGGATCAAAGACCTCAACATAAATCTACCCACATTGAACCTCTTAGAAGAAAAAGCGAGAGGTACTCTTGAATGAATTGGTACAGGAGACTCCTTCCTGAACATGACACCAGTAGCACAGACACTCAGATTGACAATTAATAAATGGGACCTCCTGAAACTGAGAAGCTTCTGTAAGGCAAAGGACACAGTCAACAAGACAAAATGGCAGCCCACAGAATGAGAAAAGATATGCACCAACCCCACATCTGACAGAGGACTAATTTCCAAAATATACAAAGAACATAAGAATCTAGTCTCCAAAACACCAAACATCCAATTAAAAAGTGGGGTACAGAACTAAATAGAGAATTCTCAATAGAGGGATCTAAAATGGCTGAAAGACACTTCAGAAAGTGCTCAGTGTCCTTAGCCATCAGGGAAATGCAAATCAAGACAACTCTGAGATACTATCTTGTTCATGTCAGAATGGCTAAAATAAAAAACACCAACAGTTTATGCTGGAGAGGATGTGGAGAAAGGGGAACACCCCTCCACTGCTGCTGGCAGTGCAAGCTTGTATAGCCACTTTGAAAATCAGTATGGCGGTTCCTCAGGAAAATGGGAATCAGTCTACCACAAGATGCAGCAATTTCACTCCTAGGCATATACCCAAAAGATGCACATTCATACTACAAGGACATCTGTTCAACTATGTTCATAGCAGCATTATTTGTAATAGCTAGAACCTAGAAGCAACCTAGATGCCCCCCCCCAACTGAAGAATGGATAGAGAAAATGTGGTACTGTCACACTGGAGTACTGCTCACCCGCAAAATAAAAGCAAAAATAGAAACAGAAAAACAATGGAATCTTGAAATGTGCAGGCAAATGGATGGAACTAGAAGAAACTATCCTGATCGAGGTAACCCAGTCGCAAAAAGACATACATGGTATGTAGTCACTCATATATGGATTTTAGACATAGAGCAAAGGATTACCAGCCTACAATCCACACTGCCAGAGAAGCTAGGAAACAAGGAGGACCCTAAAAGAGATGGTCCCCCAGAGAAGGGGAAAAGGACAAGATCTCCTGAGCTAATTGGGAGCATGGGGGAGGGGTGAGGGAATTAGGAGAAAGAGAAGAGGGGAAGAGGAGTGGAGAGGAGGACATGAGGGAGCAGGAAGATAGACTCCCGGGAAGAGTAGAGGAAAGCAAGAAAAGAGATACCATAATAGAAGGAGCCATTATAGTTTTAAAGAGAAATCTGGCACTAGGGAAATGTCCAGAGATCTACAAGGATGACCCCCAACTAACAATCTAAGCAATAGCCAAGTGGCTACCTTAAATGTTCTTCCCTGATAATGAGATTGATGACTACCTTATATGCCATCCTAGAGCCTTCATCCAGTAGCTGATGGAAGCAGAAGCAGACACTCACAGCTAAACACTGATATGAACTCCTGGAATCCAGTTGCAGAGAGGGAGAAATGATGAGCAAACAGGTCAATACCAGGATGGAGTAACCCACAGAAACAGCTGACCTAAACAAGGGGGAGTTCTTGGACCCCAGAATGACAGCTGGGAAACCAGCATAGGACTGTTCCAGACCCCATGATTGTGGATGTCAGTTAGGAGGCCTGGGCAATCTTTGGGGCCTCTGGTAGTGGATCAGTATTTATCCCTAGTATAGGAATGGATTTTGGGAGTCCTATACTCCCCATAGAGGGATATTCTTTCACCCTAGACACATGGGGGGAGGGCCTAGGCCCTGCTCCAAATGATATGACAAACTCTGAAGATCTCCCATGGTAGGCCTCCCCCTCCCTGGGGATCAGAAAGCAGATGGGATAGAAGGTTGGGGAGGGGGAAGGAGAGGAGGAGAGGGAGAAGGAACTGGGATTGACATCTAAAACAAGCTTGTTTCTAATTTAAATTAAAAAAGAAAAAGGAAAAAAGAAAACTTGGGCTTGGACCAGAAGAACTCTGACAAAAACCTTATCTGCCTCTGCCTTTCTTCCCAGGAGGGAGAAACATGGCTCCCAACTCACTGCAAGCTCTCTTGCTACAGCTAACAGCCCTTTGCCTTTTCTTCTCTACTTCAGCTGAGAACAGCTCATCTCTATCTTCTATTCAATAACCCTGAAGGACTTGACAATTGTCGGTAAAACCACCTGAGCTCTCCTGCCACTTCTCAAATCTATCCTTTCAGAGTTTAATCATTTGTTTAGATTTCCAGGATTCTAGTGTCCCTCCCTTGGCCACCTACTGGTGATAGGTATTTCCACAGATCCTATCTTGCTATTCTCACACAGTAAAAAGGAAGAAATTTAAAGACCACAGCTTCCTCTCCTCTAGACTTCTGCTCTGGATGACAGCACACTGGAACTTTACTTCTTTAACTTTTAATGAATAGCAGGAAATGAAAACATTTTAGGGGCCCCAAGATTGAGAAACATGTCAGTTGGGTAGATTTCTCAGCTCTACCATTTTACTAGTTATGTGATATAAGAAATTATTTAATTTCTCTGTGTCTCATTTTCCTCCACTGTGAACTAATACAACAGTCCTTCCTTAAGTTAGTCTATGAATTAAATGAATAGGTTGTAGGCAAAGCACTTAGATTTCCCATGCTGTTAATATGAGAACTACTACAATTGTTATCTAAATTTCAAAACCAACTGTTGTTTGTACCATGATCCATATACTGGAAGTCTATTCATAGCAAGTGAAAATGTCAGCCAACTATATTGTTATTTTATAGTAATGTGACATGTTTCTTTTAACTATAATGTGTGAGTACGATAGTATTATGATTCTTGTTTTAAAATTATAATTTCCTCTGATTTCTAAAGCCTTTGCTCCGTGTGTGTGTGTGTGTGTGTGTGTGTGTGTGTGTGTGTGTGTGTGATCAAGGAAGTGATATTTTTATTTTCCCTTGTATATGGGTTTGTCACTGGGGGCAGCTGTCTATAGACAGAGGAATCGACCATCTCAATATGCCTGGAACTGAGAAGGTTCTGCAGACACAGGACTTTTACTGCTAAACTAGGAGTCTCTTTTGCCAGCTTAGCCTTACAGCTATTACATAAGCCAATGTAGATCTGTGAGAAGAGGTTGTAGTGGTGCTGATCTCATCAGAGACAAATAGTCCTTGGCACAACATCTGTTGCCTTTACTGTCTCTTTTGCCATGCTGAGGTCAAACACAAAATGTGGCACATACTATATAATTTCATATCCTCTGCCTCTGAGCTACACACCTAGCTTTGATTTCTGTTTCTATCAATTCTTTGTAAGAATCCAAGGAGTGAAACTGTACTGAAATAATTAATTCTAAATGTTAATTGTACCATGATCTTGCTTTCTCTAAGACTTCTTCCTCAGTTTATGCTTTTCTATTTCCTGCTGATCATTTTTGTACTTTTTATTTTTCTTTTAGGTCAACTCAGATCAAAACATACTCTTGGGATAATGCCCAGGTTATCCTGGTTGGAAATAAATGTGACATGGAAGATGAACGAATCATTTCCACTGAGAGAGGCCAGCATTTAGGAGAACAGCTTGGTAAGACATAAATTAAAAAGATAGAAAGCTTGGTAATTGTCACACTGAACACAGTCACGAGAGAGAGAGAGAGAGAGAGAGAGAGAGAGAATAAAGTTTGTCAACAGACTTTGAAAAATAAGCTCTGTGTAAGCCACACAAGTGCATTTCCTTTTATATTCTGTAGCTTTGGTCAAATTGAGGCACAATTAGAAACAAAAATGATAGCAAGAACTTTGGTCTTAGCTCAAATTAATGGGGAAAAAATCCTAATTGTTATTTCATGAGAATCACAGGTCTACCTTCTTTGTTTCTTCATTCTGTTTTGTTTTAAGCCACACATATCATTTTGCATTGAGTTGAGTACTTTATTGTTTTCAAGTTCCTGTTAAAGATAGTAATAGCACAGAATAGGTTATGTCCTAAATTCTGGGCTTCATGAGACATCAATCATGAGCAATGGTACTGTTTAAAAACTTTTTAAGAGTCAATATCTTCCTTTGAGAATGGGTATCATAACTTCTCCCTACTGAACAAAACTCTTAGAGATAACATCCCATGAGGTGATGTGTAGAGCTTTAGAAATGGCATGACCATCGAGACCAGCCTGGGCTACAAGAGCTAGTTCCAGGACAGCCTCCAAAGCCACAGGGAAACCCTGTCTCCAAAAACAAAGCAAAAAACAAACAAACAAACAAACAAAAAAACAGAAAAAAAACAAAGAAAAAAGAAATGGCATGACCATTTCAAACACAAAACATAGTGGAAGAAGAAAATGCCACAGTGAATCAAGTAGAGTTTCAAGAAAGATTGGTGTCTGATTGATCAAGACATTTGTGCTCAACATGTACTCAAAAATTATTCTATGTCTTCTTTTGTGTCAGATATTAGACAGGGTCAAATAATAATGATAATATATGATTGCATGGAAAGATTAAAGGTACATACAGCAAAACTAGCAAGGAAACAAAAATAGGTCAGTGAACAGTCCATGATATAGAAGGCAGAGGCAAGAGGAGAGCAACAGGGCAAAGTGGAGACCAACAGGTAGAGAGAGACCCCACTGCTAGGTGGGGGTGTGAGAGAAGGAATGGGACAGGAGGTAGGAGAAAAACAAGCACAGAAAACACCTAAAGAGAGGATGGGTGGGGCTGGGCTGTTCTGCTTGGAAGAGGCAATTGATGATAGAAGATGACAAGAAGATGGGCTAAATAGTGAGATATATTTAGGATCCCTAGAGAAGGAAAAAATAATTAAAACCAGTAAAAAGCAGATGTGATTTTGTGAGTAAAGACCACAGAGGAGCAAAGACACCAAATGGAGTTAAGCTGAGAAGACAATGAGCAGGAAAGTTACAACCTGGCATGAGCAAATGGATTTATTTGGAGGACAATCCGTGTCCTGCAACCTAGTGTGCACATACATAGAGAGATGGTGAACAAGAGGTCACAAAGCACCTTGACACTAGATGACACTCTCTATTCAGCGTCCACCCCTTTGCCTCTTCTGTAATGATGGCATCAGCTCACATTGATCCCAGTAATAGGTGGAAACCTGACATTTGAAAACACAACCATGTAATGGATGATCTGAGCTTTGCTCCGTTACTGGAAGCATGGGCTGTAGAAGCACAGTCAATTCCTGTGGGTCAGTCTACTGCTGGGAACTCTCAATAGCTGAGCAGAGTCCATTTGCCAAAATTTTCTATTTCCTCGTGAGATCAATGAGCTCATTACACTGAAGACTGGATGGCCACAGGAGTCCATCCATGAGACTTCCCTGCAACCAGCTATGAAAACATTAGTAGACTGATATTTAACCTTGTCATTAGCCTCTATATTCTCTGTCATAGGACCTCTCCACGTGCTGCCAGTGTTTGAGAGTCTTAGAAACTTAGTGACTTTTCCCAGTACCTCAGGAAGATAAGAGTGGACATGAGCAGGTCCTCTATGTAAGAGAGTAGGGGAGCCTGGGAGGATATTTCCATCTGACTTCCTTGGGCTCCATTTGCTTACCCTGTATTTATCATCTAGCTGGACATCTGCCTGGGAGAAGAAAGTGCTCCAAGAAGCAGACTGTCTTTTTAAATAAAGTTCAAAACATAGAGCAACATCAAGAACAATTCAATGTTATTGTCAAAAATGGATAGGTGATAGCTTTATGTTTAACAGTCTAATAAACAACTAGGGTGCTGGAGAGATGGTTCAGTGGATAAGAGCACCAGCTACATTTCCAGAGGTCCTGAGTTCAATTCCCAGCAACAACATGGTGGCTCACAAGCATTTATAGTGGGATCCAATGCCCTCTTCTGGTGTGCAGGTGTACATGCAGATAGAGCACTCATATACTTAAATAATAAATTTAAAAAAAAAAACGTGGCTGTTGAGAAGATTAGGTATGGAAGAGATGGTAGAATGACACAAGTACTTCTAGAGATACTTTCAGTAGCACACTCGTGCACATGTGCACCCCCACACACACACACACAGGTACCCTCATACCCTCTCCATTCACTGCACAGATATTGGTAAACGTCTCAAATTGTGAGACAGATGGATTTTATGCTCCTGTGCAAATTCTTCCAATAGTCTCTAATTGATTTTTTTGGCTCTTTAGTCAATAAAACTCAGCAGTTGTCATAGCAACCAGCAAATGTGCCTTCTTGGAGAGTCATTTACCTCCAGTGTGGTTCATTCTCCTCATGACTACACACCCTCTACAAACAACCAGGAAAGACAATTCTAAAAACTAATAACTTTCTTAATCTAAATTACAAGCTTTTTTCAGAGCTTAACTTAAAAAATATTGACAGTAAAATTCAGTTTCTTGGAGATTAGAAATTGTTTTTCCTAAAGGTTATTATCACATATTGTCAGGTGGTTAAGTCTCCGTTATTGATGTATATTTCTATATAGCTTATGCTCATCCAAATGAGGAGACTGGATGAAACTGTACTGTAGCTGAGGTCTTTGTGTTTCTTGGGGAAAAGGGGTGCTCTTGTAAAACTGTTTTATTTTTTAGGTCACCAAACATGTTTACAAAATGTTTACAACATTCTGGGTACTTATCATACAATTTGGTGAATGACCTTACCTTCTAGAAACAGCCATCACAGAGCCTGTGAGTGACAATATAGAAAATTAGTATTTCCCTGCCATCCCTCTCCTGGATGTTTTGTTCCATTTGGCCCTGAGAAGTAGCCCCTCATTATTAATGCTGGTGTTTCCTATCCTTTCACCCTATCCAGCACTGTTTTCCCTCTTCTGGTAGCCGTCTTCTCCTCCATCTGCTTCTTGCATCCCTGGTCCACCACACAAGTCCCCACACACTTCCTTGGAAGTTCTCCTTCTGAGATTTTAACTCGACCTAACAACAGACAAATCACATCCCCAGCAATGAATCTATGATTAAAATTCAGGTACCTATCCCCCCTCCCCCACCACCATCCCCCACAAGTTTTCAAAGTTAAAACCTAGGAGTTTACATTATAAACAGAAATGTTTTTGACTTTCACATAATACTAATTTTTTTCCACACTAATTTCCATAGTAGGAGTGTTTGAACAGGGTGAATCACTGCCCTAGCTGAATATGATCTAGGGGCTAACATGCTTCCCGAGTATTTTTTAAGCATATTACAGTGCAGCCTATAGCATAGAAAATGCTTTGCATTTTTAATTTATGTAGTTAAATGTTGTCAGCTATAAACAGATTCCATCTCATAGCTAAATTTTAGATAAAAAATCATTAAATGTTCAATGAGAGAAAAGTGAAGATAAAACTAAGGATACAATTTTTCTTAAAAGTAATTTACCTGGGAGGAAAAAAATAACAACAAAAAATCATGGCCAGGAAGAAAAGAGTTTGTGTTGCCTTGAAACCAGAGAGAGATGCTCAATACTTTAATTGTTTTTATTATCTCCGAAGGGAAGAAATGCCTTAGTTACCCAACACAAGTCAAAGAAACACTGTGGAGAAATTAAAGTTGCTTTCTGCCAAGAACTAATTATTTTTTATTAATAGTTTGTAAGCATCGAATTTTGATATACTTTAATTTATATTAATATTTCTAATAAAGCAAATAATAGCTAATATTCCCAGTGACTTTGCATTCAAGTAATTTTCAAGGTCTGTGAGGCTGAACTACTCAATTTCAGCCTCTTCTCTGTTTCTACTTCTTGTCCCACAGAGCGACCCTACAACACTTTCAGACAACCACAATATATAGACACATTTTACCATCTTTCCAACATAGACTATTTTCTTCCCCTTCTTTTGCCATTTAATGAATTTTTGTGTGTTAATTATTTATTTGATAGCCATTAAAAAAAAAAACTTCTATTTTGAGGCTGGGAGTAAAAAGTTTACCTTTCTTATAAAGCTTCAAGTATGCTTTCTAGATCAGAGGTACTTTCCAATATTAAAAATACATAAAGCAAACAGAAGGAGTACCTCGATGTGAGACGTGAGTTTATCCTAAAAGAAGGGCTACCTTCAGTTCAGTGGTAGACGGCTTCTTCTGGAAAAGATAAAGACTGTCAGAAAGACACCTTTTACATCTGTGAACTCTAAGCCACGTGTATTTGATAATCCCTAGTTTAAGTAAACAATTCTTTTAAGGGAGTCATCTTTTAGGATAGGGAAAGATAAAGTCATGGAATGAGGTATTCTTTCACACAGCAGCATCCCTAGATGTGTGAGATGGGCCAGGCAGAACATGTCACTGTTTTCCAAAAGATACAGATAAATCAAGGGAGAAAAATCCCAAAATGAGCAGATGAGACTTTCCTCTGTGGTACTACTTCTCTCCAACAAAAGCAAGAGTAGGCCACATTGTCTGTGGGGCTCCAGTGTCCTTGATAAAAAGAGAACTGAAGGATATGAGGCATCATTAACATCCAGTCCGGAAAGTCTATTGCTTTAGTAACCCCAAATTCTGCTTAGAGCTAAGCCTGAGTGACCCCAAGGTCTCAAATTTGTTCTTGAAAATCTTGACTCTTATTGCTAGCTAGAGTAGGAGGG